ATTGTGTAAGTACGTAATATTTTTTCACTCAAATCCTAATGAAACACTACTGGAGAACATTCCTTTGTCGCAAAACAGTTTATAAATTAAAGAAAATAATTACAGTGTGTTTAATATATTACAGTATATTATAAATAAATAAATAAAACAAATAATTCGGTAAATCTATTTAAAGTAAATGGAAAATAAGCAAACATGTTATTTACCAAGACCCTTCCGTCTGGCTCAGGGTGAGATGTAGGGGAGATAAAGAAGGCTATTTATAGCCCATCAGAAGTGACCAGTACCCTAATGCACCATAAATAATTCATTGAACATTCATTTTTTGTACATAGTATATTCAGTATATATATATATATATATATATATATATATATATATATATATATATATATATATATATATATAATATATATATATATATATATATATATATATATATATATATATATATATATATATATATATATATATATATATATATATTTGTGTAATAAATGTATGTAGTAAGTACATACTGGTAACCTTTTTCACTCAAATCCTAATGAAACATCACAATTAGAATACGGTGGTTGCTGTTAACCACATGTTGTATAAATAGTCACACCACCCAGACGAGGGAACACTCCCACCACGCTTCAGTGACGTCACTAGTGTTTACACTACACCAGCGAGTATAATTTGATGACATTACTTGAAGTGAATTGGCCTTATTTTAAAAAATCAAGGATGGTTGGTAAAGGACTACTGAGTCAGTGGGTAAGTGTCACATTTGGGGTACTGGTCTTATACAGCAAATAGAGCTCAAAAGCTACTTTTTAAATGGAAATTTGGGGGGGGCGTCTTATGCACCCCGCCGCCTTATAGGCCGTGATATACGGTAGGTTGCCATATCTAAACATTAAAAAAAGAGGACGTTCCCAAAGACATCATGCCCCCCGCCTGGCACACACTTTGGCGCTATGTAACCTTGATGCAGCCGTGACCGTTTTATGCTCTGGAAAAGTACAACAAATTGTAAGCACTAGTTGTGGCACCAAGCGACAAACCCACAACAAAGACTAAGATCAAACACTGTCACTGCAGGTTAAAGACTGGCCAACCACCGGTCACCGTCATAGTTGTCGACACACGTAAATAATATAGCGAAAGTGGCTAGATTATGGTTGGAAATTGCTAAAATGCCTTAAATGCAGGACAAGAAAAAACAAATGCTACTGTGTAAAAAAACCCATAAGAAAAAAATGGTATACTTTCAACATTTCATTTATGGCTGTAATAGCACTAAATAAAAAAAAAAAATTATAATAATGCACATGGCTGAAGAACAAGGACAAGCAGTACATGGCACTACAGGTTACCCCAAAAACTGCTAGCAGCTAAGTTGACAACACCGTACAGGCATACACGTGACTTATCAGCTGACGAAAACTGAACAAGATCTCTACTGTTTCCACCTCCCCTCTCTCACAGTCTCTCTCTCTCTCTTGTCATTACAGTTTCATGTTTCTTTTCGTGGAGAAAATGATGGATGCTGAAATTTCGGACTTTTGAAGAATTTTAAAAATTCCTTCCGGATGAAGATTTTGAGACCTAAATGGAGGACATGTCCAGGAAAATACGGACGTATGGCAACCCTAAGTATAACCATATCACCACCAGCTTGTAGTGTTAGTCAGCACCAGCAGCTTGTAGTGTGAGTCAGCACCACTAGTACAGTATAACCATATCACCACCAGCTTGTAGTGCGAGTCAGCACCACTAGTACAGTAGACTCCCAGTGTCCAGGCACTGGTAGATTCCACCAGCCTTCACCGAAAGAAAATAATAAGAAAATATTCTCCAATATCAGCTGCAATTGTAAGTCTGTAAACCACACACAACAAGGACGAGCTGCCATATTTATTGCTATGATAAACAATAAAACTGATACATAGAAGATCACAAAATACCTGTAGTGTCATGGTCACACTGGCATGGCTGGTCTGTTTGCAACCTGATGATTCATATTATGCTCCACGCCCTCAGAACATGTGGATAACTGGCGAGTTATCCTTATAAAGAAACACGTTTTACCGAGCTTAGGTGCCGTCCATTTTCTCTAACTTCCTGAAACCAACCTTTCTATAATGTAAATTTGAATGTGTGTGAGAACACCATTGTTTTGAGTCAACTTAGATATGTCTGATTACAGATGAAACATTCAAGATCCCTTGTGACTGATGTTGAAAGCTTCAACTGTGTTTACTGTTAGTGAAATTGTCAATATAAGTCAGGGTAGAGACTACTGTATGAATGAGGTATCATTGACGTCTTCCCTAGAGATGCCAGGAGTTGCTAACTGATGCTGAAGTTACCTATTTTTCACCTATGAACATCAGAGAACCTGATGTTCATAGTGAAATTGTTGTAAGAATGTTAATTACGGAAGTAATTAATTATTGTGAAGGGAAGTGTCAGCCTCCCTATCTTTACCATCTAACGGGGTGTAGCCTAATACTCCTTGTCTTACGCTCCTCCCACCAGGGACTGCCATCCTGAACTTGAAAGAAATTTAATTCTTGTCTTCGACAGCTCAGTCAGAGTGTAGTTTGAAAAGTAGACATTAGTAAATTGAAATGAGTTTGTAGCCCGATTTTCACCACATCAAGGTGTGTAGTAATAGAGTTTGTGATACATCTGTGTGAGTTTCACCACGGGGGTGATGGAGCACTGGCTGAGACGAGAGACAGTGGCTCTCGTCTCAAACTAAGACTCGCCATCATCCTGCCCACAAGTATGTTTGAGAGTAAGCCTCACGCAGCCCTATTAAGTGATTTGACGTAGTTGTGTGATCCAGTAACATAACTTTGATGTGCTTTAAGTGAAGCGTTGTTGCGCCTTCAGCTTTTAAAAACGTATGACATTCGTGTCATCTCATCTCAGCCATGACTCCCCCTCCTGCCCACAGATTCCAGCAGGTCAAGAGTGGTCGTTGAATGTTAGGACGACATCCAACCCTGGTACTGGAGATGGACGAAACCACGGAGACCGAGTAGCGTCATATCCACGCGGCCCAGCCAGGCCGCGGCTCAGCCAGGCCAGCCGCCCACCAACCTGTGTTGACGGTTCATCCCTGATGATCTCACGCATCATAGTAAACACAGCCAGCTCTCAGTAAGTGTTGTGTGTTTTGAGTCCAGCTCTAAGTACAGTGTGCCGTGTTATTCATCTGAGTACCCATGTATGTATCTCCTCAGGCATGAGTGTGTGGAAACACCAAGAGTATGAGGTCGCCACTTATTTCTTGGCCAATGTAGAAAAATAGCAGAAAGAAGCTACATCCCTGATAATGTTAAAGTAGTATCGTTGGTATGTTCGTAGAGTCCTGTGACTGATTAAGAGTTGAGAATGTCAGGTACCGTGTATTGCTGGTGCTCGAGTGTGCCGTGTGTAAGCTTGTCATGTGGTGTGTTCTTTTAAATGTACAACCAGTAATGATGTAAGAAGCTAGTGTATCTAACTGGAATTACATATGAGTAAAGCCAAGGAGTTGATCCTTGAAGTTGTATGTTAATGACACCTTTAACCAAATTTAATTTCATATTAATAAACCATTTTTAGAGTATGTTAGGAGTATCATTTTCCCTTAGTATTTACCTTTATTCTTGTCCATAGCTTGATACAAGAATTACAGTAACCCATGTGTCCTAACCCTCACCATGCTACCAAAGGTCAGAGGTTATGAAGTAACTATATGAAATAAAATAGGTTGACAGAATTAATGGAGAAAATGAATGAAGTAAGAAATTGAGAGAAGAACAGGTTGAAGAATTTAAAAGTTAACAGCAGGGGGATAAATTAATAAGAAAAGACTAATAAGAAACGGCCCCCTTTATAAATGGTGACAGCGGTTTTTGCCCCCTTTATAAATGGTGACAGCGGTTTTTGCCCCCTTTATAGTAGCTCCTTCCATCATCTGAGCAACGTGACCCACATGAGCCAAGCATCCAACGTCACATTGGGAGGGAGTGTGGCCACACAGTTATAGCCAACCGCCCCCACACACTTCCATGCCCATGCTCTTCATTTTTCTTATTTTATAGTTTTATATTATATTATATTTATTTCTAAACCACATTGTTTATATAGAGTGGGATAAGTTTTGTAAAAGTAAATTTTTCTGAGATGAATTTGTGAGGGCAGCCTGTAGCACTGTGCATTGTAGGATTTATTGAGGGATCCTAAGAGTGATGTTCAACTAGCCATAAAACTGTTTATGTGGCCCCTCTCAATGCCCATAGGTGTCAGATAACTGGGATTCTACTGTACAACCAGCTTGTAAAAATCTTACTGACTAACATATATACAGACTGTAAGAGGAAATACACCAACTGTGTGGCATATACAGTACATCATGCTAGACCCAAGGTACAGATGTTCTGGGTTAATATATAAAGTTCAGAGTAAAGAAATATCCTAACTACAGTACAAAACACACTTGTCCCTCTCCCAGTCAAACAATAAAAACTATGGTTAATCTCTATGTGTCACTTTATAAATACATTTAATTATTAATCAGTCCATTCATCCATCTAACTATCTTTCTATCCCATTTTGTTCTCATCTCACTTCTATGTGGAGTGGAAATTTTAAAAGAGAGAAATATATATACAGTATCAGGGGAAGTTGTGTAAGACAAGTGACAAGAATGGCTTAGAGCAACACACACAACATGAGACTCTCCTCATGCTGTTTCTCTACCTTAACCCCTTGTTATGGGTACACCTCTGATCTTAATAAAATCGTCTGGCACTGGCCAAATAAAATACTGAAAGTGGCATCATTGTAGTGAAGGCGTTAAAACAACTGCAGTCCTGTGGCTATTACAAACATAAAGTGAGAAATGATATCATTAGCATAAGCTATAACTTGGGCTGGTATGAACTAGTCACTAACGACAGTACAGTACAGCACCATCAAGGGACAACAACTTAATTCACAACAGAACTATAACTCACCCAATTGCATAGAGTTTAGTGATAGGATGATTGATTCCTATGGACCTGGCATGATGCTGCACCATAGTCTCTGCATGGTAGTAAGTGATCTCTGATGGCTTGCCAACCAGAGCAGTATAGATGAGATCATTGCCGGTCACCTTCTTGTAGAGAGCTTCCAGGCACAGTAAGAAAGCCCCATGACCAAACCTGATGAAGACAATGAAAATATGATAATTCCTTCAGTCCCACAAGAGGTGAAGCTGAGACCACAAACCAGACCATGTGTAAGTCTTAAGCTTTATGAATCACCACAAGTTATGGGGTGTTTACAGGCTGGTGAGAGGGGAGGGAGGGGGGTCCTAATCTTCAAGTGGTCCATAAAGGCTAATAACTGTGAATAATATCTTGGTGGAGTCCACTTCATCACTGCCATATACTGTATCAGATAAATTATAAGATCAAGTTAAGTGTTGCATCTTAAGTGTTACAGTCTTAACCCCTGGGCTTTAGGCTGGTCCCTAACTTACTGAATTTGTTATATTTTTATGATATCAATTACTTTGAAACCCGTTTGTTACGACCCAAGGAGTCATTTGCCCCTCTGTCCAATTCTGGAATCGCCAAACCGCGAACAACCCTGGTTCAACTCTGTACGAATCTTCCCTGTTGACACTCCCAAAGTGTGGTGGAAGGCCGGGAGTGTGGCGTGAGGACAGTTGGCCACTAGCTACTGCTCATCGAGGTTGGCTGCTTATCATGCTGGTAAAGCACAGTACTGCAGCTTCACCTTCCTTATTAGGGAAGGCCAAGCTCACCAAAAGCTTGGAGGTAAAGCTTGACATCATACAGTGTCACAAGAGTAGTCAAGATGGAAACTTCATTGCAATAGTACTTGGACTTCCAGCTCTGAGAGTGAGTGGCGGCCCAAACAACAGTAGTCCTCCAGCCTCACAGAGCGCACATTGCTTCTACCGTGGAATTGGTGAGTGTAACTTTACTGTAGTTTATTTCTATAGAAAATTCTACACCTTTTTCCCACATACCATCATTTGGCAATCATTTGATGGGACAGAGAACAGCTGAGTGATCCCCCACGCTCCTCCTCCGCTCTGTTGGCTAACTGTAGACCACATAAAAACTGTTGATTCCCTTTATATTTTTGACCTATGATAATTATATATTTTTTATTTTGTTTACACATTCTGTATGAATGATTGTATGTTCATGTAACGGAGTAAAATAAAATTAAGAAAATTAAGTATACAGCGTGCCCTTCAAATTTGTGGATTTTTATTTTGTGGATAACACCCAGGATGTAACCAAAAATGTCTGAGGGTAGTTTTAAAGTTGCCAGCATTTTTGCGGCCAGGACAGGGAGCCATTTGTTCTAGAGACAGAAATTTCCTTTACCTGTATTGTATATACAGTACTGTATGTGTTTTGTATATATATGTGTGTTTACATATATATATATATATATATACTGTATATAATACTGTACAGGTAAAAGAAATAATTGTCCTAAGGGCAAACACATAAACAGAATATACATTTCTTTGTACACAAGTAAAAATGTACCCCCCCCCCCACCCCGGCCTACAAATGTTATTCGTGCATTTGGCGATTTGCGGCCATTTTGAGAACCAAACCCCCGCGAATTTGAAGGGCCTGCTGTATTTACCCAAAATTACGTGTTGAACAATAACAAGGCTCACAGCTCAGCCTCACTCTGCGTGTTACTGGGTGGTGAGTCAGCCAAGCAACTGGTTACACAATTATGTGCGATCTCCACAGATATTATTCCTAGTTATCCCTTGTTTAAGATATTATTCCTAGTTATCCCTTGTTTAAGATATTATTCCTAGTTATCCCTTGTTTAAGATATTACTCCTAGTTATCCCTTGTTTAAGATATTACTCCTAGTTATCCCTTGTTTAAGATATTATTCCTAGTTATCCCTTGTTTAAGATATTACTCCTAGTTATCCCTTGTTTAAGATATTACTCCTAGTTATCCCTTGTTTAAGATATTATTCCTAGTTATCCCTTGTTTAAGATATTACTCCTAGTTATCCCTTGTTTAAGATATTACTCCTAGTTATCCCTTGTTTAAGATATTACTCCTAGTTATCCCTTGTTTAAGATATTACTCCTAGTTATCCCTTGTTTAAGATATTACTCCTAGTTATCCCTTGTTTAAGATATTACTCCTAGTTATCCCTTGTTTAAGATATTATTCCTAGTTATCCCTTGTTTAAGATATTACTCCTAGTTATCCCTTGTTTAAGATATTACTCCTAGTTATCCCTTGTTTAAGATATTACTCCTAGTTATCCCTTGTTTAAGATATTACTCCTAGTTATCCCTTGTTTAAGATATTATTCCTAGTTATCCCTTGTTTAAGATATTACTCCTAGTTATCCCTTGTTTAAGATATTATTCCTAGTTATCCCTTGTTTAAGATATTACTCCTAGTTATCCCTTGTTTAAGATATTACTCCTAGTTATCCCTTGTTTAAGATATTACTCCTAGTTATCCCTTGTTTAAGATATTACTCCTAGTTATCCCTTGTTTAAGATATTACTCCTAGTTATCCCTTGTTTAAGATATTACTCCTAGTTATCCCTTGTTTAAGATATTATTCCTAGTTATCCCTTGTTTAAGATATTACTCCTAGTTATCCCTTGTTTAAGATATTACTCCTAGTTATCCCTTGTTTAAGATATTACTCCTAGTTATCCCTTGTTTAAGATATTACTCCTAGTTATCCCTTGTTTAAGATATTACTCCTAGTTATCCCTTGTTTAAGATATTACTCCTAGTTATCCCTTGTTTAAGATATTACTCCTAGTTATCCCTTGTTTAAGATATTACTCCTAGTTATCCCTTGTTTAAGATATTACTCCTAGTTATCCCTTGTTTAAGATATTACTCCTAGTTATCCCTTGTTTAAGATATTACTCCTAGTTATCCCTTGTTTAAGATATTATTCCTAGTTATCCCTTGTTTAAGATATTACTCCTAGTTATCCCTTGTTTAAGATATTATTCCTAGTTATCCCTTGTTAAGATATTATTTCTTGTTTCTGTTCACTCAACGAGCAATTCACTTCAGGATCTGTTTTTCAGAAATGCATCGTGATCGCTAAATGACGGATACCTGTACATCCTTAACTTCTTCATTTTTTACAATATGTTTGGAATGTACAGGAGTAGAGTTGGACTTACCAAAAAGCCTCAGGAACATAACATAATTGACAGTAGAGGAGCAGCTGTATTATTTTTATTGTTTGTTATTAATACAGTTGTCTCTCACTATACAAATGTTTGAATTCGCTTATATGAATTTCCTAAATTAAAATTATGACCTCTTTTTTCATGTTACAAAAGTTTCCCCTGCTTACTGGGAGAGTTAACTCCTTAAAACATCATGTTTATTGTTCGACATAATTCCTTTAAGGAATCTTTTATCACCACTGCTAGTACTTGAACTTGAAAGTCTTTTTCCACTCCTCTTAAATAAAGGTACACAGTAACACAGACACATAACTGAACACAAACTGGGCAAAGAATTCTAACTGAGCAGAGAGGATGTGAAAAATCTTCCTGCATTTGAGGACAGATGGTTCAGCACAGAACTGACCCACATTGTGTTCTCAGAAGAGGTTATAAGAAATAAACTGTCAAAATTAAAGGTTCAAAAGAGTCCCGGCACCGACATGATGCATCCTAGAGTGCTAGGAGAGTTGCGCAATGAGCTTGCCGAGCCCCTGAAGATCCTGTTCAATAAATGCCTGGATGAACAAAAGGTCCCCAGTGATTGGAAAATGGCTCATGTGAGTCTTATTTTCAAGAAGGGCGATCATCACTCAACAAATAATTATAGACCGGTGAGCATGACCAGAATAGTATGTAAAGTACTTGAGAGCATTATCAGAGATGCCATGATGGAACATCTACTACGGTTTTATGCCGGGACGCTCCCGCTTAACACAATTACTCAAGGTACTGAACGTTTGGACTCAAATTCTGGAACAGCGTGGTAATATCGACAATATATACCCAGAATTTACCAAGGCATGAAAGGCTGAAAATTAAGCTGGAAGGGTATGGGATTCAGGGAAGTGTCCTAGCGTGGATCGGAGACTTCCTGTATGAACATAAGCAGTGTGTGGTGATTAATGGTATGAAATCGTCATGCGTACCCATGAAAAGTGGGATACCTCAGGGTAGTGTATTGGGCCCGTTGTGGTTTGTTTCATAAATTACATGCCAGAAGCTATACACTACTCCATACAAATGCTTGCCGATGACGCCAAGTTGTTTCGGGAAATCAAGAACTAAGCGGACTGTGAAGAGCTGGAGAAAGGTCTCTGAGTTTTAAGAATGGTCGAAGAAATGGCAGCTAAGATTCAATGTCATTAAGTGTAAGAGGATGCACCTGGGACATACCAACGGTAAGGAGGCATATTATATGTCCCAACGGGATGAAGAAACTGCATTAATTGAGATTGAATGTGAAAAGGACCTGAGTGTATATGTTGACAATGAACTGAAGTTCTCGGGCCATTGTGAGAAGAAGGTGAATCAGACAACTAAACTAGTAGGTCATATAAGAAGGTCGTTCAGATATCTGAATGGTCTGTCACTCGTAGCGATCTTCAAGAGTGAGGTGCTTCCCCGCTTGGAGTACTGTCACCCTGTCTGGTCCCCAATATATGTCCAAAGGAGAGCCACCAGACTGGTGCCTGCACTTAGGCCTACAGCCACTCTGAGAGAATAGAGTGCCTGAACTAGCCAAGCTTATACTACAGACAGGCAAGGGGGGACCTAAATGAGGTGTATAAACATCTCTGTTGTCTGTACCTGGAGCTGGCGAATGCCCACCCTACAAGGGGTCACAGCTCAAGGATGAAGACATTTAGAGTGGAGGACTGTGGTCGCCAACCCCCAGATATGAGGAGGGTACAGTACACTGGTTGATTGACTGAGTGTGGGGGCAGCAGCAGTGCACATGTCTCTCACCAACAAGAACAATTAGTGGAGTACATAATTGGAAGTCCTATTAAGGCAGCTTCATATATGACATCCAGTTTGACCTCAAGTGACCAAGACAGTATTATCTTTATTGGTTATGTCATATATAGATGTAAATGAATGTTAACATGATCACACCATTTTCCATAAGTTCACCTAAATTATCCTTATTTTGAAATATTGTATTTTAAACTAATTATTTGTGTTGTGATCATCTGGTTCAGTAATAATTATTGTTCATAATAAAAAAGTTTTAAATTAGAGAGGTTACATGAATATTCTCCACAGTGTAGTGCTATCTAGTTTATATGTACTGTACATAAATGTGACTCACCTTGGCATGTGAGCCTCAGCCATCCACTGAAGGTCCATGTTACAGGCCAGTATCGGCAGGTGGGGGTATGGAGCTGTGGGTTTACCTAACAGATCTCCTCCCGTCATCAACACGTCTACCAGCAGCTGAAGTGATGTCTCCCACCTCACTGGCTCTCCGAACAACATTATGGCATCGAGTTTAGGAATCTGTGATACTGATTCAACCGCCTGTAATGTAAATTTCAAGGTTAGCTTCATCTATTATTACCATCTTGAATTTGTGTGGGTGGCCAGAACCTACTGGAAATAAGCATCTTATGGCTTTGTCAGCTATCATTAGTTAAATTGCCTTATTATTTAGTATTGTAGTACAGCATACCAGCATCATATAAGTACTCTATAAAGTGTATACTTTACCTCCATGATCTTTGTAAACCACACACTGTACCTGTGTTGTCTATACACATGCTGAACTACATTCTTGTACCTACATAGTCAATATACTGGAGTAATCTCTCCATTAGCCAGAATATTCTATCCTCGCAACTCTCCAATACCCCCAAAAAATTTATCAGCATTACGGGAAATTCTGGGAAAAATATCTCCATTCTGGGCATGAGAACGAATTTCCGAGAGATTACATATGTTTCTGATGTGGGGATGCATGCTGGGCGTGTGGGTGGGTAGGCTGAGAATGCTCATGAGCTACTATTGGTCACTACTGTCGTGTGACTCATGAGATGCCTATGATTGGTCGATGTATCTCACAGCCTATCTCCTCAAAATCTAGCATCACAACACTTCTAGTTCATTGTCTGCTGCCATTGTACAAGCTTGTTTGCTCGCTCACTGCTGTTTTCACATAATATTTGCGTTGTGCAGTGTTGTACATTACTGTACAGTACCAGCATATAATGAGCCAAGAATACCATTAAATCAGTGTAATAGCCCGTCTAACAGACAGTAATACAGTAAAACCTCACTAAGGTGGACTAATTGGGGGGAAAGGCTGTCTGGGATAAGAGGTTGTCCACCTTGGAGCAAATTTTTCCCAAAAGATCGTCATTTTAGGCACAAAAAAGAACGAGTACAACACCAATGTGTCTAAGTTTTATGAAAGAAATATATGTTTTTTAATAAAAATTAATTTTAAAAAGTAATGTACATAAAGTACAGTGGTCCCTCGGTTAATGAGCACAATCCGTTTCAGCAGGTTGCTCGTTAACCGAAAAACTCGTTAACCGAAACCATTGTTTCAATGGGTTTTTGGGTAATTGGTTCCAGCTCACCGAAAATTGCCTAAATTCAACAAAAAAGGTAGAAAGGTACACTTACTTTGAGGTGTGTATGTAGAAGGCTCCTGGATGATGATGGGATAGAATGGGGGTTGGAGGGAGAAGGAGAAGGCATTGGGGTGGAAGAAGTCACCCCATGGCGCCATTCACCCATAAATTTTAGTTCTCTTGGTGTAATTCAAGATTATTTTCTTTAAATCAACACTGCACTGCATTATATATTGTCAATATGTAAAATAAATTTCAAAATGACCAATAATTTGTTGGAAACACAGAAAAAAAGCGTTTAGTTGAAGAGTCTCAAGCAAGATGTTACCCCACTGCAAAGAGAGAGACTAACACCTGTTTGGTGTGTTAACAGGCTGGTGGCATGCCAGAAACTAGTTTCTTTACCTTCAATTATGTTCAATAATTGTTAAAATGACTAAAAGTTAATATTAAACTTTTAAAATTATTGAATATAGTAGTATAAACTTCTTGATATTTACTAAATAGTAAGGAATTTAAGCCCTAAAACCGATTTCTGTACTGTATTGGTGGACTAATACTACAGCTGGTGGACCGCCAAATGCAAGCTAAAAACATGTTGAAGTGGCCGGTAAAAACTTCTAGATTGTCGGTTTGCTCGTTAAAGCGAGTTAAGAATCTTATGGAAGGTAAATCGTTAACCGAAATCTCGTTAACCCGGTTCGTTAACCGAGGCGCTCGTTAACCGAGGGATCACTGTACTGTACACTTACTTTTAGTTCACTGATAAGGTCTTAGGCTTAACCTTCTCATCACCCTTATGGGCACCGAACAATCCGGGGGACGGTTGTTTAATTTTTATAATAATGCACAAAATATAAATGCTACTTCAGCCTAAATGTATAAAAATGATAAATAATGACATAAAAAACACCAAAAATACAATACAGTACTGTATTTTAGGGTAGGAAGTAGTTAGGAAAAACTTTTGTGTGTATTTTCCTCCTGTAGCCATAGTTTTCTTTAAATAATATACAGGTAACTCGCGTTTTACAGACGTTTGATTTAAGTTTTTTTTGGAATAATGTGATTGTTCAGTTAATACCAAAACCTAATTTACGCGCACCTATTTTTTTTTAATATAGCGCTCAAGACAGTTTAAATTTGCCGTGTATTGGCCTGGTCGCCTGGCAGTGGAGTAGTGTGTGATGCCTGGTAAGGTGCTTGTAAGTTATTACTATAAAGTTGCAGTCATATCTACATCAACAATTTTAATACTACAGGTTGTACCTCTCTAGTCCGGCAACCTCGGGACCTGACTGGTGGACATGCCGGACCATGGAAATTCACCCTTTTCCTGGATAGATAGTGACTTGTGCTTATGCCTGGAAGCACTAGCACCACTCTCGTCATGGTCTCTTTGAAGACATATTGAAGGGTTAAATGTCGTATAGTAGCTTCTCAAATTTGAGTTTTTAATTCTTTACGTATTTTATTGGAACACACAAAAAATAAATAAATAAAAATTTTGTGGCGGAACTTGAATTTCGACGGGTTTGAACGGCCGCCAACGTGCAGGCGACATGCATAATCGTGTATCGCGTCATTTCTCTTATGTACAAAAGATTCATTATTGTTTATTACTGAATGTCTTTTTATTGAATTAATGTTTATGTGTGCAAAATGAGCAATACAATTCATTAATAATACGTGAAAATTAAAACACATGAGGAAATGACACAGCATTGTTTTGTTGATTACAAAACCAGTGACTGACTGGTTCTACATATAACTGAAGAAAATAAGACCTTGGTTGTAGCTGTAGTAAAATTAATATGGTTGTTTTAAGTAATGTTATTTAATGTTAATAAATGGAACAATAGAAGTGTACGATAATGGTAAAGAAAAGAGATACATATGTAAGTCGCATGCTACGTGAAACATATCGTCATTACTTTACATAAGAATATGAAAGAACACTTATTTACTGTTCATATATATTTTAATTAATGTTTCTGAATTTGTTTTTATTGAATTAATGTCGTGTGTGCAAAATTAGCAATACAATTTATTAATATCCGTGGAATATTAGAGAGCCAATTGCGGCATTGTTTATGTTAAAAGCTTACGAAACCAGTGACTGATTGGTTCTACATATAAAACTGAAATAAGACCCTGAGTTTAGCTGTAGTAAAATTAATGTAAAAATGAATATGGTTTGTGAAGTACCTGTAATGTTATTTAATGTTAATAAATGGAACAATATATGTAGCTAACCATTAATGGTAAAAAAAGTGGAACTGCTCGTATGTAAGAGTGCGACATGTGAAAATATATCGATCATTACTCTACATAAGAATATATAAGCAACACTTATTTACTGCTCATATATATTGAAGGGTTAAATGTTGTACTCTGTATAGACAAGCAGAGGGAGAGCAGCGAACTGCGGATGTAACAAACCTTAATTTCAGCGGCTTTTTTTTTTAAGGGAATTAGCCCCGGGCATAGGTCAGTGACATTGGGGCCTGAAGGGCAAAAATTTAATACTCCTGTAATAATAATAATAATTCAGATAAGTAAAAAAAAAAAAAAAAAGAGCTGCCTATCTACCTATTGGACAAACCAAAATCGTTCCGGACCACGGGTTTCGGACCACAGAATGCCGGACTGAGAGGTACAACCTGTATTAGTATACAGTGGTCCCTCGGTTAACGAACACAATTCGTTCCAGAAGTCATTCGTTAACCGAAAATTTCGTTAACTGAAACCATTGTTTCAATGGGATATTGGATAATTGGTTCCAGCTCACAGAAAAGTATATACAAAGTAAAGCCAAAAATGCATAAAGTCAGAAACACTCCTAAACTTCCCCTAAATCGCCCTTAAATCACTATATATATCATACATATACACTAGAACTCTTAAATCACTACTGTAATGTGATACAGGTGATTAATTTTATCTCTTGTGCAAAATAAATGACGTTTATATTCAAATTATTCCCTGTCTTGCAAGGATTTCAGCAATGCAAATTATATTCTCCTAACTTTAGTCTGAGGTATTATTTATTTTTAAACCTGTAAACCTAGTCTTTTTACCCAAATGTTTCTCAGGAAGGTGGAGGGGGGGGGGGTAGGGAGAGAGGGGTGACAGTGACATGTTTGGCAGTTGGCACCTGTGGTGTGAAGCATTTAATTGTTAATTTATGTCCTTTAGATTGAGTTTTTGTTTTTTGCTTATAAAATTTAATAGAAGTGACCGGGGTGAATTTAATTTGCATTGCTGGAATTCTTATAAGATAGTGATTAATTTGAATGTAAACATAGAAGAGATCACTGAATTGGCTGAGTACCTCCTCAGCTTATCAGCTGATGTTCAAAACAAAATGTGATTTTCGTAAGGATTTCGTTAATCAAATTTTTTTCGTGAACCGAATTGAAGATTCTTATGGAAGGTAATTCGTTAACCGAAATTTCGTTAACCGAGGGTCTACTGTAATAATAATTATTATAATAATGTAATAATAATGATGAAGATAATGATGATCATGAAGTATTCTGTACAACAACTGTGCCACGCCCAGCAAGCTTTCCGTGTATAGCTTTCTCAGTTCACACCAGCACTACTTTTTCTGTTTTCATTTGCATTTTGTGTTTATCACGTACCTTTTTAGTGTTAAACGCTGTTTTCCCCAGTGAGCATGTCTGGAAAACATTCATCTGCCTCCTCTGGGGAGCCTAAAGCTAAAAATGCAAGAAAAACAATCGCAATGGACATAAAATTAAATGTGATCAACTGCCTTCAGAGAGGAGAGCGTGTGTCGGAGGATGGCCGCGTGCTTGGTTTAAGTGAGAGCACTGTTCGTACCCTGTGTGGTATATGATGGTTCCCCTAACCTGTACCATTTACAGTAAAAGTCCAAAAATCCGAATGCCAGAAATCCGGACCACCAGAGAATCCGGA